ATCAGCTATTTGGTCAGAAGAGAATTTCTTCAGATGTATGCATGTGGTTGGCATCCTTATGTGTATATATATATGTATATCTATATACTTTTTGTTATTTACATCAGAAGAGGAATTTCTTCAGATGTATGCATGTGATTGGCATCCTTATGTGTGTGTATATATATATATATATGTATATCTATATACTTTTTTGTTATTTACATCAGAAGAGGAATTTCTTCAGATGTATGCATGTGACTGGCATCCTTATGTGTATATATATGTATATCTATATACTTTTTGTTATTTACAGTTATGTCAAATTTGGTTAAACTGTACAAGGAACTGATAGCACAAGCTGATTATACATTTGACAGATAAATGTTGTAAAAGAGGTACTTTAAATGTAGTTAAAATGATCACTTATTGATATGTACAAGTTAGACTTTTCCTTTTACTAGAAGCTTAGAATGTAAAGGATTAATTAAAAGTGAAGGGGATATCCTTCAGTATATATGCACAGAATTTGATTAAAGAAAACTTTTTAAGAAAGTTTGGTAAAACATATGCTAAAATCTAAAGTGGAGTTGATTACGTAACTTACATAATTTCAGCTTTTGAGAGATAATATAAAGCAGGCCACTATTTGGTATTTTCAACCTGAATGGCACTTTAGTGACACATGGGATAAAGGTAGCTCAGAGACTCTAAGGCTCTTGCATAGTCAGCCATAATTTAGAACTGATAACCAATCAACAGCTCACTTTTTATTCTCCTATTGTTAACTGAGTAGTGGGACTGACTGCTACTTTTATAACTCACCTACAGGTGAAGTGTGGTGCATGTTGAGTAGTAATTGTGGACTTGAACTTTAGAACTTATGATATATACAGCCTGGTACACTAACCATGAGGCCATGCCCAACTGTAGAGGAGTGTAATTAATGTATGATATATACATGTAAGTATGGTAAATAATTAAATGTTTCCAAATCACTGCATGTAGAGCAAACCTAGTGTGTTAGTTGCAAATCTAAATTTTCAGGGTATTGCTAAATCCTGATTAGGTAAGAACAAACTTGTACAAATAAATGACTTGACTACCAAACCTCATGAGATGTTTTCATGATTAGAATTAAAAGTGTTTTTAGCAGTGATGCTACTCACTTGATGAGATATTATGGCTGCTATAAGTAGTTAAGCACTTTTTAATTTGAACTCTTAACAATTTCTTTTTCAAACTATCACTTAGAAACTAATTTAAATTTAATTGTTTAGATGCTATTAATTAGTACTAAGAAGCACTAAGCTTTTACGGTGAGGATTCATGTTTGTTTGTTTTAGAGTAAAGCCACATTGGGCTGTCTGCTGTATCCACAGTGGGGGAATCTAAACCTGGATTTTAGCATTGTAAGTCCATAAACTTACCACTGTCCCAATGGAGAAGATCAGGATTCATTATAAGTTGTAAAATTGATTTGAAAAATGAGTCTAAAGCAAAGGTTTTCATTAAATAAAGTATATTACATTCTTACACTGATCTCAACACTTTACCTTGAATAATGAGAGTTCCACTGAAGTCTGAGCATGAAAATTATACTTTGCTCTTGCCTCACCTTCTGTAGCTTTACGAGGATGAAGAAGTGCATTTTCTGAAGAAATAATCTGAAATACAAAAATATATCTGCTTGATATATTAGTAATTCTTATATAAACCTTAAAACTAACACTCTGAAGAATTAGAGACTTCTTATGACAAATTTAGTTAAATTTTTCTCAGCAGGGCCACATAATAACAGTATAATAAGTTAAAAACAAATTAAGTGCATAAAAATTGACTATAATACTAATACTTAACATGGACTTATCTTTATATATTTTAAAGTGATGGGTGCACCTGCTAATATTGTATTAATACACTAGAGTGACTATAGTGAATCCTGCTAATATCATATCAATACACTAGAGCAGTGGTTGGCAACCTTTTTTGATCGCAGGTCAGTTATTATTATTTTTTTTAACTTAGCAGTGCGTTGGGTAAGTGATAGTCATATAATTCTTACTACAGGTACATATATTTAAATATGTAAGTTTATTTACATAGAACAAACAAAATTAATAGTTCAACCAGCTGGAACATTTTCCCTTAAAATTGATCTTAAAATTTTCTTTAGCAGTGACTCTTTCCTTTAATATCTTTGTTCTTCTCACATAGACGAGAAATTTGAACTGAGCAATGATTGTGCCCACACGGGTTGCAACAGTGAAAACAAATTTTGGTGGGTCAGCCAATTCATTGCTGCAGGTCACTTGGTGACCCGTGGGTCATAGGTTGCCGACCACTGCACTAGAGCAATTGTAGAGAACTCTGCTTATATTGTGTCAATACATTAGAGTAATTGTAGTGAACTCTGCTAATATTGTGTCAATACACAAGAGTAACTGTAGAGAACTCTGCTAATATAAACAATATTAGCAGAGTTCACTACAGTTACTCTAGTGTATTGACAAATATTAGCAGAGTTCTCTACAGTTACTCTAGTGTATTGATGTGTCAATACACTAGAGTAACTGTAGTGAACTCTGCTAATATTGTATCAATACACTAGAGTAACTGTAGAGAATTCTGCTAATATCTTATCAATACACTAGAGTAACTGTAGAGAACTCTGCCTTACTAAGAAGCAGCATTCTAGAATATAGATAAAACTGACTCTTCAATGATTTTTCACTTGTATAACACTTGTATTTAACTTTCATAGAAATTTAATACATTTCTTAATTTCGTCTCTTCTGAATTTATCTGACAAAACTTTAAATTTCTTTTATATATACCTAGTACAATTATCAGGGAATTAATAATAGTTTTTATGTAGCTGAGTGAATTTTATGAAACATGATAGTCAATTTATATAACTTATATGAAACCCAAATAAAAAAAGTTGTCTGATATTCACTTACTCATGAGGAAAACTTCATTTAAACATGTCTGTAATAATCATATATTAAAATTTTCGAGCCAATTTCAGATAACTCGACTGACTGTTAGATAATTATCAATTAACCCTTTTTGATTACTTTTAAGGTTTTATTTGTTTTTAATTGTATCGTATATTCTGTGTTGAAATGTATATATATATGAATCACAAGTAAAACAGTGAATATATTTGACCAGAAATATGTTACTAGGAAACTTTAAGTGCTCTATTCTGAGATTTTACTATTACAACAGATCCAGTTAGAAGCATATTCTAAGGTAGCTTGTATGCTTACAGATTATTAAAAGAAAATATTGACAACTGATTTAAAGATGGCCTAGCTGTTTCAGGTGGTCTTACCTCTACATATTTAATGGGAAAAATACCAGTCCTTCCATGATGTTCACCTTGATACCAGTTCTTGTCAATTTCTTTGTGTATATAGACAATATCTCCTTTGTCCAGGGACAACTCTCTGTGATGACAGAAAAACGCACACAAAGTTAATGTGTTGTCGTACATGATTGTTTTATAGCGGTGACATCACTGAAAAATGTGTACTGATTTATTGAATAAACATTTATTACAAGTGATGATATTAAATGTTTTAATTGAGGGGGGTGATCCATGTATCCTAACTCTTAAGTTAGAGCTGAACATTCTACTAATGATATCACACTTTTTAATAGAAATTGATTTTCTAATCATTAGGATTGTTAACTGAAAGCATTATAATATACATTAATGAAAAACAAACTCTGAGCATCTGTAAAGGAAACAGAAAATTCTCTCTCTCCATTATAGCTGTTGGAAGTAAGTATTTAATAATTAAGTTGTTTGTGGAAACTGAGAAAAACTGACATAGATTAGAAATAATCAGTTGTAACATCTAACTTGGTAGTCAGCACCAGCAATCACTAGGTCATTCTAAAACAAGAGCAAACTGACATAGATTAGAAATAATCAGTTGTAACATCTAACTTGGTAGTCAGCACCGGCAATCACTAGGTCATTCTAAAACAAGAGCAAACTGACATAGATTAGAAATAATCAGTTGTAACATCTAACTTGGTAGTCAGCACCGGCAATCACTAGCTCATTCTAAAACAAGAGCAAACTGACATAGATTAGAAATAATCAGTAGTAACATCTAACTTGGTAGTCAGCACCAGCAATCACTAGCTCATTCTAAAACAAGAGCAAACTGACATAGATGAGAAATAATCAGTTGTAACATCTAACTTGGTAGTCAGCACCAGCAATCACTAGCTCATTCTAAAACAAGAGCATTGATTAGTAGTTCACAAGACTCTGAATAATATTTTATGCACAAATATTTACACTACAGATTGATATGTACGAAGAGATATGCAGAACACAGCTTTATTTCCTCAGTATTCATCTAGCATGTAGGAAGTGCATATGGTTGCATTGTTTGCCTTGATTGACCAACACATTCAGGTCAAATATTGCACTGCATAAAATTTTACACTTTTGCTCAAGAGGTTCATGGAGCACAATAGAACAGTAAACTGTTACATACTGATTTGGCTGGAAATCCAAGCTATGACAACCAGCTGACTTGAAGTGTATCACACTATTTGTATGGGACAAAATGACCTCAATAAGCAAAGATTTCTTGCAATATAATATTTGTATCAATAACACACTTTCAACTAAGATCTCTATGTAGTCTTTAGGTATTTTAAACTCCTGTTTCTCTTGTGGGGAATGTAGATTGTGGAAAACCTATACCCCCCCCCCCATTTATTTTTGGAATGCAACAATATCCTGGCACTTTGGATTATAGAATACAATTTCAACTCTGATTAGTGTCATATAGTATAGTAGTCAGCAGCTTTGATGTTTACACTATAGTGCAGGGCTGCCACAGAAGATGAGGGGAACAGAGATGAAAAGAAAAAAAAGAAGATAACCTTACCGTGGAGTTTGAGCTGTGAAAGCGTACAATACTTTTGCCATAGTATGAGCCTCAAGAGGTTTTGGAAGGGTTGTGGCTTGGGGTTCATAAGGATTGTCATATCGATCTAAGGGTATGGGGGATTTCTGTGATGGCCTGAAATATAATAAATAGGAATGATATATTAATTATAATTCTTAATGTATATAATATCTAAATCAATGTATTATGCACAAAAAAATCTAGCAGAACGTTTGTTTGTTAAATCGTGAAATTTCTGCCCTTTTTAAAAAATAACTACATTTTTATTCAGGATATAAAGAAACTGTAATTTAAAACATATGATGTGTATTTCACAGCTACAAGACAATAACTAGATCTGAAACGCCTTTTTAAGTTAAGAAAATGATGTATTTTTTGGTTTTCATTTGAATTAGTTGCTTATGAGTTCTCAGCTGGAAGACTAAACCAACTACTCACAAATACTTTCGTAATTGTGTTTTGTGAATTGTAGTGCTGTAACAGTGTTTTTAACCTGGTAGAATTTTCAGACAAAAATATAAGGAGTTTGAAAATATGATCTGAAATTGTTGTTATTAAAAAAGTGCAATTTAGATTAGTATGGATATGGTTGTTTTAAACCTTATGAAGCCGAGTATGAGAGATAAAATTCTAAATTGTCAACAAACTGTAGAAATATATAACATAGTAATCTCTATTTTTGCAACAAATTCAAACCATATTTAATTAGGGTAAGAACCAGTGAATAAACAATAATTTTGTGGAAAAGTATAAGCGAGTGATATTTTTGGTTTCGTAGATGTACTTTTGAAGAAAGAAACACGATTTATTCACAAGAATTATAAAAAACTTAAGGATATTTCCATCCTAAATTCAATAATTTACTGACTGACATAAGCAGCAAAATTCTGAAAACAGCTGATATAAAAATGTTTTATAACCTACATGAAATTATCTGTATGCCTTCTCATCTGTAATTCTTTTAAGTTTTTTCTGTGTTTCTCTTCTTCTTGATGCTTTTTTAGCTATAAAGAAAAATCCCACATGTGAGTACTTAAATTAAGTCACTAAGATGCCAAATGAAATTTGAGGTTTATAGAAATTTTTGGGCTGTAATGTGCAACAAATAACACCCGCTGAAATATGCATAATTTCAAATTGTGAACCACGTTTTACATAAATTTTTCTAAAAAAGGTTCTAACAATAAACTGAAAATTCATTTGATATTCTAGAAACTGCATCCCTCTTCTTATGTGTAAAAAAAAATTGTACTTTTAACTGTTACAAAGCTTCAGTTCTTTGGTTCTAGCTTGCCAATGTGCAAAACATGGTAGTGTGCCCCCAGTATTTTTTAAAGTAAAATGCTGTACATGTTTATGATAAAACATTTTTTTTTGTCTGCATACACAAGAATAAAGCAAATGTATATAATTTTCTTTAACTTAAACCTAAATGTAAATTACCTCATCATCTTTAAATGTGATCCTAACTGGCTTGTATGGCCGTCCCATCACAGAGCCCTCTTGGGATGCATGTGGAGAAACTATTCAGTAAATTAAGGTATGAAGCATGAGAAATGGATAAACTTCATGTATCTAAATACTAGTCATATGGCGTATTTACCTCAAAAACATTAAATATTTAAGTATATCATCAAAACCATATTTAAAACATTGTTAACATGTGTTAGTAATCTTTAGCTGGTGAATCTAAAAGGCATTTACTAAATATGGTAATAGAAATAATTATGAAAACACAGGAGCAATAGACAAACAAAAGTAAATACAAAACATTATCACAGAAAATAGAAAACAAGAGTGAAGAAGTTGTACAATTCACTATTATTTTGTATCTGAACCCTCTGTTTATACATACAGAGCATGTTGCCATATAGTTTATCAATGTGTTATTATGAAATATTGTTCAAGATGTCCTGTATTACTCTTCACAACTCAACTTCATATGTACAATCTCAAGAATGTTCATATCAGGACTCTGCACAGGCCAAGCCTTGGTTCTAAATGTTCCATTGGTCTCTTCATCATCAAGGTATCTTTCACCACATTTGTTGTATGCTTAGGACTTTTGTCCTGCTGGAAGATGACCCATTCCTCCTCCCCAGTGAGATGTGTTCTATGAATCACTGTAAATATTGTACATTGAACTATGACACTATTTTCCTCTCTGCCATCAAACAAACTACCTTTAGTGGTTGCCCAACAATTCAAATCTAGATTTAGCTGTAAAGAACACACATCACCAGCTTTGCTCATTCCACTCTTTGTGGTCCAATATCCATCTTAACCCTTTTGTTTGGTTACTTTTTTCAGCAAATATTTTTGAGCAGCTACACATCCATTGAGACCACTTTGTGCTAATGCGTATCTTATGTATTATTCTTGATGTAACATACACCCCTGTATTCACAGTATAGTCATTCCCAAGATCCATACCAAATCACTGTTTGCTCCATAAGAAACTTACCAGAGATACTTAACATCACTTTTAGTTTTCTACCTCAACTACTTCTGTTATTAACAATGCTAGTTTCAGTGCTCTTCAGAAGCATGGAGACTTGCCACAGTTTATTTGCTTGGAGTATCTTTGACCAGACTTATTTTAGTCTTGGGAACCAAGGCTGGATTCACACTACTATTGGGCAATAGTATGGCTATTTGTGCTTTTATAGGCTTTATATTGGTGTGGCACTTTCTGAATGGTTGAATTACAACCAATCAGAGAGTATGTTATCAATACATGATTATAACTGGTGCAGTTCATTTTCAAACAATAAAGTAGTGATATTCCCATATCATTTGCTTTTTATACCATAGGTTTTTTCCTCATTTTATCCATAATTATTAATATTTAAAATACTGTACATGTCTGACTGTACATTTAAAACAATAATTTATTGTGAAATCAAGGCAGTCACTATTCTGTAAATGCAAATATTTTACTTTCAAAAACTTTATATATAGACACACACGCATAATGAAAAATTATGTTTCAGAAAAGTATGTTATTAGAAAGCAAAATTACTATAAATAATCATTGTATGTACGTTATTAAACACAAAATTACACAATGGGCTATCTATGCTGAGTATCAAAACCTGATATTTAGCATTCTAAGCCCTCAGACGTACTGCTGAACCATTGGGGAGCTACAAGTAGTATAAAATATAATATTGCAAGTAATAAACAGAAACACTACAAAGTAACTAAATTTGCTGCCAAATAATCAGATAGTTGGTTTATATTGATATAAAACGATAGATCTAATTCAAAGTTAAGCTGTGAAAAAATACAATTAATGAATGTGATATAGAACAGCATGATCATAAAAACCGTGGATATGTCAGTATAATGCAAACACGACATATTTTGGAGATAATGTTGTTATTTGGCAAATACATATATGCAAATATGCTGTGAAATATTTTTCAAAGAGTAATTCATATAGGCTGTTGAATTCACAAACCTCATGGAACACAGTTACGATTTAAAATAGCTGATATTCAAAAAAGTACACAGTAAGATCCCCTCAAATAAATTTATTTACATATTAAAATATATAGTGTTAAGTTTTTTTTCTGTTTATTCATTTCCTATCTCCTTCAACTTTAATTTGTATCAGTTAATTATTTTAGAAATTTACAAGCCTACTATAATGACTGAAATAAAGTAAGATTTGTAGTGAAATTAATTATTGTAAGCCCAATCAATTAACTTGTTATCTTAACAACTAATTTTTACTTGCAGCCCGGCATGGTCAGGTGGTTAAGGCACTCGACTCACAATCTGAGGGTCGCAGGTTCGAATCCCCGTCACACCAAACATGCTCGCCCTTTCAGCCATGGGGCGTTATAAAGTGACGGTCAATCCCACTATTTGTTGGTAAAAGAGTAGCCCAAGAGTTGACGGTGGGTGGTGATGACTAGCTGCCTTCCCTCTAGTCTTACACTGCTAAATTAGGGACGGCTAGCGCAGATAGCCCTTGTATAGCTTTGCGCAAAATTAAAAACTAACAAACATTTACTTGCATTTTTTCAAACTTTAGTTATCTTCCAAGTCATTTGCATATATTTATTTAAGACTAAGGTATCCCATATTTTTATACTGAAATCTACACACAAAATAGAGGTAATTAAAACAGTGAAAATAATTAAAATGAATTATATGGATAAAGGGCTTAAAATGAAGCATATTTCATTCTATGTAGAAAATATTCTTCCTATAAAAAGCACAATCTAAGATAACTGATATGATTTACTATAATGCTAAAGCAGCACCAGTTTTCAATGTTAAAAAATCGTCACATTTATTACGTACATCTAAAGTGGTCATATTCATAAAAGTAGTTGTTTAAAAGTTATAGGAGCTATCAGAAACAGATTAATAAATGTTTTCAATTGTACATATCAATCCAAAAATAAACTAAAGTCAACAATTTACTTTAAGTAGTGATACCGATGATCTAATATACTTCTACAAATATTTGTATGAATAAACTAATGATGTTTAAAGCAAAGTAAGTAAATCCCATTATACTAACTACCTTTGCATTTTTCTCTGGTCAAAGCCTGTTGCTGGGAATCGTTACACCAGTTTCTCTGTTGTCTTGGGCTCTTAGTAGGATATCCTCGAGTTTTTGTTACTAGTGTAGAATCACTTTCATAGCCATCCTTGTAAAATCTACAGAAATATATATTTAAGTAAAATATATAACTCTATAATTGAACTAAATAACATTATGACTTAAATGTTCTTTTATTTTTCTCATTTATACAAATATAAGACAGTTTTAGTGATGTTTAATAAGATACTCTACTGTTACACTTTTAACCTGCAAAATATATTCATCATTCTTTATCTAAGTGAAAAAAACAGGACACAGGATTACAAAATCCTAAAAAAGATTGAAGTACAGTGAGATGCCTTAGGGCTTGGTTTAGTTTTTTGCCAAATTATTTAAGAGTTGAAAACATAGCAGTCATAATATTTATCATAGATAAAGTACATCTAACAGATTTGAATGAAATATCAGTATCTTAATAATTATGATATTATTAACACGTTATAGCTTCTTATGCTATTACTGAAAAAATTGCACTGTAAAAATACAATGTGTTTTTTGAGTAAATACCATATTGAATGTTTTTATTCTATGATATGTATAAAATAAGTTTTTTTGGATAATCAATAGGGCTTATCAAAAAATCTAATTTTCCCAATTTCTAATATAATTATGTCGATTAAATTGCTAGTTATTTATTATTTCAGTTATAGTAAAAACCTGAAGCTGAAAAAATGTCTCACTTTTATTAATGTACTTCTAATTGAATAATTTGTTTTAGCTGTGGCTGAGCAGTCCATAGAACAGCTCTGAGTTGTTGTTTTTCAAGTACAAAAATTTTAGCTCATAGCTTCATCATCTCTTGACCGATTTGAGCTCTAATTACAGTTTTGGACTCAGGAAGTCAAACCCTTTTGATTGATATATTTGACCATGCCCAAGATTAATTTATTCTAACCCTGCCTAAAAGAATTTCAATTTGAGGGTAGGCTGGTAGAGATCATGATGAGTAATAAAATCAAATTCGGAGACACACACACACGCCCCAGCTTGGTATTGCTGATGCATAGAAATATAGCTAATAAAAAGAGAAACAAAGGTCTTATAGATTAATTTACTCTAATACTAAAGAATTTCCAATACCACAGCTATTGAGGATTCCCTCTTGTTTTTTTATTAACGTTATGATTTACCTAATTTTTAGTTTCATTCATTTCTTTGTACTTTTGGCTTTTTTTTATTACTTTAGCTAGTTTTAATTATTTCAAAATATAACTAGTTTGATCATAGTATAGCAGTGTTTATTAGTAGTTTCATTCTCATGCTTCACACACTTAGATAAGTTTGTGTATTTGTTATCTAAAATAGTTTAACTTTGTTTCATCTGAGGTTGGTGGTTCACAGGCAGTTCTAATCAAGGTAGTTTAGTTGTATGAGCTCTAGCAGTAAGAAATAAAAGGTGTTTTTATTAAGACCCGTGTCCATAAAAAAAGTATTTATTTTATTTCATGCCACAGCTTTAATACTAAAAGAAACATAATGAGAAGTAAAAACTCAAAAAGTGTTCTACTTTTAACTGAAAAAAAATTGAAAAACTTTTATTTATGCATACCTTCAAGGAAAATATACACAAAATTACATTAAAATAAGTAATTCTAAAATAGAAAAGTCTAGGGCAAGAAAGAATAGGGAACAATAAAACTTCTGTAATTAATTTTATATAAATTAGACCCTATAACAGTACATTTTATTTATGTTTCAGAAGTATGTAAAGTATAAATTTATTATAGAAATTTCATTTACACATTTTAGAATAATAATTCAAATACTTATATTTTTGTCATAGATAGTATCCCTAATGTTTTACTCATTCTATAAATTCATAAGATTAAATATGTTACTTGTGCTTAGTTAGATTAACTAAAAACACTCTAATATTAAAAAGTATACAATGATGTATTAAAATAGCACCATCCTCATGTGACAGCCTTACGTGTTATGGCAGTATTCTACCCCTTTATCATCAGGATAAGCCATGAGTTAACAGTAAAAGAAAAATCGTATATAATTTCATAATACATAGATACAACACAGCATAAATTATCATACAAAACTTTGACTACCTTTAGTGACAACAACATTACAAGATTGATTTCCAAGGACTATTTCTATAATATCTGGACCAGAGTCCTTATTCAAAATGATACTTTTTATTTTCAAGACTTTCTAATGACTTTCTAATATTTATTTCATCCTCATTATCAATCTGATGAATAATTTTAACATTTTCCCAATTAATAAAATGAGCGAAGTTTGTCACGTTAAGCTAAATTAAATTCCTTAAGTTTTTGTTTCTCTATTGCAGTTTTATGTTCCTAAATATCTGTCCAATATAAATTAAGCCACAATTATTTAGCTTTTTATAAATACCACATTTATCTTCACGCCCTACTGTAACTGTTTCCTTTTACTCCACTGATAAAAGTACTTAACTTAAAACAAAAAGAAAAGGTTACTTGACAATCTGTATATTTTTTAAAAATAATTCCTATTGGTTTAGAAACCGACTAAACACATACAGCTAATATATCCTTATTATTATCTACGTTTAACTTAGTACATTGAGACACTTTTAATTACAATACATAAGTTGTGTGTATAACATTTGGATCAAAACTTCTACCAATAGCTACATATGTTTCAAAAATTTAATTTTGACACTAAATCGTTTTGATGAGTACAAATATTCATAGTTCTATACACAAAAGTTGAGAAAGAAGACTTTTCTTTTATGACAAAGGTAGATATGATCTCCTCTGCAGTGCCATGGCAACAGAGAACAATTTTTTACATGCCTCTGTAGAAAGAAAACCATTCTCCCTTTTAACAGAAATATATAAAAAACTGTAACAATCCTCTTATTCAACCTTTAAAGTGAACTACAATTACAGGGCTGGTTGAACCAACATGTCTCTTAAAACCTGTTAGAATTTTCTTGCTATAGCACCACACAAGAAATGCATCCTCAGCTTATCTTGACCATATAATGGATTTAACCAAAACTATTTTCGAAGCTAGAATTTCAACATCAAACATAAACAACTTACAAAGTAGAGGTGTCATTTCAGTGAATTATTGTTCACTTTTTAGCATTGTGGTATTTTATGACATGGTTTAAGATAATACCTTCCTGGCTTATACAATACATTATCACTTACTTAAAAGATCGGGACTTGTCATGTGCGGATAAATATTGGTTTTCATTCTAGGAAAAAAAAATTATAATTCAACATTAATCACTTGAAGATTTAATGTTGTGTCACATAAAGTGTATACACTAGTACAGTATATATAAATAACAAAGGAACAAAAATCTAACTATTGCACTATTTTGTTAAAGGAATAAGCAGATTTAAGTTTTGTTTTCGCTGGTATAGTAACGGTTTTATCTTCTTTTTTTTATATAACTTATGTTTTGAACATGTATATTTTAAGTACTTGGCAATGAAAAACCTATTAGCATAAGAAAAAGTTTAATAAATTTCTACAAATAACAACAACAGAGAATCTACACACTCTTTGATATCAATTACTATTTGGATGTGCAAGCCTTAAAACAACAAACTGGACACATAGATATGTTTGCAGCAAACAAACAACAAATTTAAATTCAAATAAATATTTTAAACTGAACTATTTTAATATTAAACCCACCCATAATCTTAAGTTTGAATGCAAAAAAATTTACAAATCAGTTATAAAATTTACCCTAGACAGGTGCTACAGTATCTTTGAACCAAAAAGGAAAGGTTTCTAAAATAAAATAACATTTTTAAAGGCATGATCAGTATGACTAAATGTACATTAGAACACATCACAAATCTAAATAACACATTGAAAGTTAGTTAGATCATTAAGATTACATACACATCATCTTTGTTAGTACTACAAGTAACTATAAGATTACGGATAAGAACATGTGTTGCTAAATCAAAGTAACTATCATTATACCATTCTTCGCAGTATAAGAAGTATCTCTTCATCAAACCAATACAGCATTTCATTTCTGTACATATGAGTCTTTAACGCTCTCATTGGCTTTTAACTAATAATAGGTAGGCAAACAAAAGTAACTAAATCAAAGTAACTATCATTATACCATTCTTCGCAGTATAAGAAGTATCTCTTCCTCAAACCAATACAGCATTTCATTTCTGTACATATGAGTCTTTAACTCTTTCATTGGCTTTTAACTAATAATACGATTGTTTGCCTACCTATTATTATATTAGCGTAATGTGCTTCCTTACTCAAGTATGGCTTTTAACTAATAATAGGTAGGCAAATAACGATTGTTTGCCTACCTATTATTATATTAGCGTAATGTGCTTCCTTACTCAAGTATGGCTTTTAACTAATAATAGGTAGGCAAATAACAATTGTTTGCCTACCTATTATTATATTAGCGTAATGTGCTTCCTTACTCAAGTATGGCTTTTAACTAATAATAGGTAGGCAAATAACGATTGTTTGCCTACCTATTATTATATTAGCGTAATGTGCTTCCTTACTCAAATATGACTTTTAACTACTTATTTACATATTTACTAATTGCAACTTCTTGCTATCAGTGTAGTATTGTACCCCACTGGGACAGTGGTAATTGTTTGGATTTACAATGCTAAGATTAGGGGTTTGATTCCCCTTGGTGGACACAGCAGATAGTCCAATGTGGCTTTGCTATAAGAAAACACACAGTGTAGTATTACCTTATAATTTTTTCATTTTTATCTCTAAAATTTAATACATCTATTAACATAAAAGCAAGCTATAAATACACAATATTAAAAACACGAAAAGAAATGATTATAGAATTTTAATAAAAAAAACAATACCGTAATAACTGCTAAGTTCATACATTTTGAAAACTTATATTTTCTGGTTCACAAGACAAGTAATGTATATCAATGTCATTAAGAGTAATGCTTCACTAACATATACTTTTATCATCATAAAAGAAGAGAATCCTGTCAAGTATTTTTGTTTTCTTACCAACTTGGCTTCTTTTTCGGCTAAAGATGAATGACCAGGTTCATATTCTGCTATACTTCGTGGCTGATTTCTGTACACTTCTGTAGAAGTTTTTGGTGGAGGGGTAATACACGAATTAGATCTGAAAGTCAAAAAATGATATCAGTATCATGGCAAGCTTTCCAAAGTATGAATAAGTCATTTAGTGTTCACTCATTGTCATATACTGCTTTTCACTCAAACAGAAGTAACGGTAATGTCCATGACACAGCAAATCAAACCAACCAGAACTGAATTGCTCATGTGTAAAATAATAGCAACAAGTCTAACATTTAGTTTATAATACTTATAATTTCAATTCCTGGCAAAAAAGATATTTTCAGATAACTGATTAATTTTAAAGTAAAACACATACCCCTATTCAGTGGTATTAAACCTTTGTTTTGTTCTAATATGAATTTAATGATATTCAATACTTTAGATTTGATTTTTCAATTCTCTTCTGTATACAGCTTTAAAGAAGGGTTACACTAGAAAAACTGAATCACCCTAAAACTGTCGTGTGTGTACTATACTAATTTGGCTGGAAATCCAAGCTATGACAACCAGCTGACTTGAAGTGTATCACACTATTTGTATGGGACAAAATGACCTCAATAAGCAAAGATTTCTTGCAATATAATATTTGTATCAATAACACACATTCAACTAATATCTCTTTGTAGTCTTTAGGTATATTAAACTCCTGTTTCTCTTGTGGGGAATGTAGATTGTGGAAAACCTATACCCCCCCCCCCAAATTGCCAAAACATTTTCACTAAATTCACAACATTTCTATAAGTTTTACAAAGGTATATGTAAGTTATATAATTTGATTCAATATTTATAAACACTCATACCAATTATTGATGTTATTACATGCTATAAAATCCAAATTTGAACTTTAATGTTACAGCATTAAACAATATACTAAACCAACACCTCAACAGTTAATAAAAAACAATCACAAACATACTGGTAAATACTACGCTGAAGTGTGCGATGTCTTGATTCTTGGTTGGCTTCTTTATCTGGATACAGCTGATAATATGGTGTGGCATAACTGGAGTGATGAGAATATCCATCTGAATTGAGATAAAAAAAAAAAAAAGATTTTTTCCAAAAATAATTGTAGACTGTCCAGTATGTATTTTATAAATAGTTACTAAAAGTTTTTGAACTTGCCAATTTTTTTTTTCTACTTAGTTGCCTTTAGAAACCTTTAGAAAAATAGATAGAAATTGATAAGTTTTACTAAAAACTTACTTGGTTTATTGATAAGCTTTACTAAAAACTTACCTTAAGTTATTTATTCTGAAAATATTTTAGCATACATACTGGTAGAAACTAAAGTTAAAGACTCTAACGGGATTACAAGCCACAATATCAATATTTTTTTTTTTCATTTGCACAAATTCTTAATGATGACAATGTAAAGTAAGTTTAATTTCACATCATTGTTCAGTATATTCTTTGTTTGTTTTGGATTTCACACAAAACTACTTGAGGGCTGTCTGTGCTAGCAGTCCATAATTTAGTAGTGATAGACTAGAGGAAAGACAACTGATCAACACCATCTAATGCCAAATTTAGTAGTCCTTTACCAACGAATAGTGGGATTGACCACAACATTGTAACACCTTCATGGCTGAAAGGGCAAGCATGTTTTGTGATGGGGATTTGAACCCCTGATCTGAAGATTGCAAGTCAAGGGCCTTAACCACAAGTCCATGCCACATTCAGTATATAAATTTACTGGTCTTGATGTATGCTCTACATGTGTTGTAAACCAGGGAAATAAACTGCTTTTATTTAATTTGGATTAAACTATTCCATTATGAATTATAAACATTTTAACCATAAGCTTATAATGATAAATTATGCAACATAACTGGCAAAAATAAATACTTCAACTAACTTTAAATGTTGGTTAATATAATGTAGGCTTGTGACTGATTTTAAAAAGTGGCAGAATTAACGGATTTAATGTAATGTGGTAATTTGTAGGTCACCAGCTTTTAACGATGTGTGTATGGATAGTTAAAACAAAGAAAAACTAATATAGGATTAACATGCATTAAGATCAAATAGAACATATGAATCAAATATCATATAAAAGTTAAAAATGAGAATGGACAGAATATGTACACATCAGTTTGCAGTAAAAACTACAGTAAATTTTTATAATTTTAGAGTGTCCTTAGTTCAATTTTGTCTTTGATAGACTTTTATTCTTCTCTACTTTTCTACTGTATTGCATCTGATATGGTGTGAAAAGACTTAAGGTTGTTTCTGTACTTTTCTAATGTACAGCATCTGACATACTGTGTAACTGTATGTAATTATTTTATTTCTAGAGATGTGAGAAGATTAAGGTTGTATCTGTACTTCCCTAATGTATTGCATCTGACATGCTGAATAACTGTATGTACTTTCCTAATGTACTGAATCTGACATGCTGTCTAACTGTATGTAATTATTTTATTTCTGTGAATGAAAAAAAAAAGTCAGTTAGGTATTTACCATCTCTGTTAAACTCAGGCTCAGACATATAACCACCCACAGGGGAGACTTGACCTGGAATACATTACAAGAATTTCCTGAAACATATGTACAGCTATGCAAATAATTTAATTTAGTGTTTATTTATAATTATAACAATGAGAACAATTACAAAAAAATTGTAATAATAAAAAAGTTAAAGTCTCAGACAGTAATGTTCATTTTTAGCATGTGATGTATCTGTAAACATAAAAAACTTTTCATCCAAACTTATTTTTATAGAAACTAACAAAAACTAATTTTAAGTTTAAACATACTATAATTATTTTGAGAATATATGAATGCAGGTAAAAAGACAGAAACAAGTAACTTATTGAGAAAGGAAACTTGTTTTTACATTTAACAGGTTTCTTATTGAGGAAGGAAAACTTGTTTTTATATTTAACAGGTTTCTTATTACAAAAAGTTTACTCTCATCTATAAGTATGAAGTTTTAAGACTCAGTTCTACTGTGTTTTTATACTATATACACAAACAGATATTATAAAAGTATTGAACTTTTACCTTTCTTGTATTTCAGAGTCACATAATCATCCCCTGAAATATAGAACAACGTTTTGAATGTGACCATGTTTTATGTGAAAACCTACACATATTCAAAACAAAGAATAAAGTTAGAAACAATAATAACACTACAGAAAGATAGAAACCCTTGGTATATTCCCATACCACCAAAAAACAACAACATTATCTTCTTCAGTTCACTACTAAATCACAAGAAATTATTCTTCCTTAACCTTTAAAAAAATAAGATGTTGGGATAAAAAAAAGTAATTAAAATTCACCTTTGTTTTGCTTTTGAACAAGTAATTGTGTTTTCTAATGTTTTTTTCATTTAGTTAGGATAAATTTATTAAAACTTAAGATCACAGTCTTACAGGAGAGAAATTGTGGCTTGAGAAAATAAAAATTAATTGAAATATTACAGTTTACTCTATTTTTAAATCTTTGTTTAGATATTTATCTGTCGAACATTTACTTTATAAATTCAAATCATAAATTCTTATTTCAACAAAGCTATACCAAATAAAATGGTATCCAATGCAGTGTCACTTAAGAATATACTACTAAACATTGAACTTTTTTCCCCCAAGTCACTAAAGAATACCTAATTGTAAATATGCATAATGAGCACAATTACTATCTATATTTGAGGTTTAAGTGATAAATAATTCTAAACCATTGGAAAATATTCTTTTGCAGCTGTTTTTGAATGAGCAACAGTTTTAGAGACATATTTTTGAGACCCAGTGAATGCATGTACAATATTTCAATATCTCCTGATTTAAAGTCATAAATAATATTCAACGTTAAACTGGTACACAATCAAAAACATTTTATTTAGGGCTATCTGTGGCCTTCAAAAAGTTGACGACTTTACATGTTTCGACATTACAACTTCATCCTCAGGATTTCGTTGTAACGTCGAAACATGTAGAGTCGTCAACCTTTTGAAGGCCACAGATAGGCCTAAATAAAATGTTTTTAATTGTGTACTAGTTTAACGTTGAATATTATTTATGATTTTAACTTTATTCACAAGTGCCAAAATACTATAATTATCTCCTGATTTATTCTATCACAATATGAAATTATTCTATTGACAGGGTAAGTGCTTCTGTAACTTACTGTTTGGTTCATCAGGTCTGTGCAGTGATCGGAACATAGATTTGTACCAGTCACTAGCATGTTCGTTTTTCACATTCTAAAAACCCAAAACAAGTAAGATTAACATCAGAAATTTTCAAATATATATTAAAGGAAGAAAAATCTCAGGTATAAAGTTACATCTAGCTAAGGAAACACTATATGAAAATACTAATTATTATATTAAATGTGTAACATATTAGTTTCATTAAGTTAGCTAATTAACAGGATGTAAATGGCATTATCTACATAAGTTATGAATGACAAGAGATCCAGAAGGTTTATAAAAACTAAAATATGATCATCCAACTGTTTACTTACTGTTCGAAGTCCAACTGGAATTCCTTCTTCTAAAGGACCAATAAATGTATATTTTGATGGAGCTTTGATATTTGCTGTATTTGAGGTGACATCTTGAACTGGCATTGCAAAATAACCATCAGTATTTAATTTGTCTTCTTCCACCATAAACACTACATTGCTTGGAAGATCTTCTTCTGTAGAAACAAAAGTAACTTAAACAATATAAAGAAATACAGTGTTGCGTTCACTGCACCTCTACAAAGCCTTTTTTCTCCCATAAGAAACACAATCAAATCAAGAAATTAAATATTCTTATCCATCACTAATGCATCTCTGATAGATCAACCCTTCTTTTGTATCAAACAATAAAGGACAAAATTATGAAACGAAAACTCCTGAACTCTGAATAATGCAATACGGGTAAGCCATGTTATTTTATTTTTATAGGAAGTAGAATCAAATATAAAAATCAACATTTCTAATATATTTTTACTGTATTTCTTCTAAGCTTTCTTTCTGTTGTTTGAAACACAATAAAACAGAAAATAATTATCTAATGATCTTTATTTTAAGTTACCAAAAGGGGAAAAAAAAAGAGAAAAATACAAATGATATTGAAAAAAAAATTGCATTTAGATCAATGACATTTTTAGAAAATATCATTTCATAAATGTCTGTACATAGTTTACAAAGTCTGATTAGGTAGTTCAGCTCATGAATTTCTTAAGAAACAGTTGATTTATAATTTACTTTTAATATATGGCCTGCTTTCATAATATTGGTTAATGAATGATGTTCTCTCAGTTTGTTAATGAACAGTAATATTGACTCTAGAAACATTCTTCCATGAAACTGTTAGGAAGTAGTTATTTCATAGTTTATTTTTAATGGAGAATCCATCTTGGCAATAGTAAGTGAAATGTGGAATCATTGTTATTTTTCATTTACTATGCAGGCATTCTACCTGTACAAGAAATATGACGTTTTACAAAAATAATATGAGGTTTTTAAAAGTGGTTCAACTTATGTAGCTGATATTAAATTGATAACATGCAGTTGTTGCATCCTTTTTCCCCTGTGCTCAATGTATACACATACCTATTAAAAAGTGTTATAGAAATATGAAATGAGGGAAGGCTAATTGGTTTCGATAATTAAATTGATAACATGCAGTTGTTGCATCTTTTTCCCCTGTGCTCAATGTATACACATACCTATTAAAAAGTGTTATAGAAATATGAAATGAGGGAAGGCTAATTGGTTTCGATTTTCATTGACGGATGTATAAAAATGGTGCAGCATGAAAGCATTCATCATTTCCAGTAATCTTATGATACAAATGTAGGGGAAGTAATAAGGATCTCAAATTATAGGATGTAATATAGCAGAAGTATGAAAATAAGAAATAGAGGAGTGAAAGTCCTGACTTGGTTTGCTAAGTACCTTTCAGTAAATTAATGATGAGCTAAAAATTTCAAAACTGAAGTAAAAGTTGTTGTGTAATTTAAGTTGTTTTCTGATGTTATGTTCCTTCTAAAGGAAAATTATCTCGATTGTCTACCATAAAAGAAAATTAGCATATTACTGTATTTTACAGAAAAACAAGGCCTGTCATTAATATTTAAGTTATTAACAAAATAAACTTAACAAAATATACATTTATTTAACTTATCGTAAAAAGTGTGCAAAATATGACAGTTTTAGATCATAGATTCTTGATATATATATATATTGCAAATAGTTCATGTGACACAAGTAAAATAACCAATCAAATATTATCACAATATACAAATAATACAGTTATGAACCATTCATTTACAAGCAGATTTATTCCAAATCGTCCAATCACAGTAATCCTCTCTTATGAAAGGTCAATTATAATGACAAACTGTATTACAGTTGTTATGCTGTCAAGTTCATAGAACATCTAAAAATAAGTTGTTAAAAATATATTAAATCATTATATATAGAAAGAATATAATGTTTTCACCTCTTTAATAAATAAAAATAGAAGAAATATGCCCCCATTAATATTATACTGTATTTTTAAGTAACCCAATTAGATGATTTAGTACCTGTCCACAAGATTGAGGTAGATTTTCTGTGTACCAGTGCACTTTTGACCTTCAAAAGTTAATACATTGTATGTAGTACTTCTTTTATAAGTTTGGTCAAACTCAGTACGTCAAATCTTGAGAAACCCATGTCTACAAGATTGGGACAGACAGATGAACAATGGATGGACAGGGGTAAATCAATATGCCCTGATCTGCAATGTTTCACATTGGGGGCATAATCAAAAATATTTATCTGAATCTTTAGTGTACATAGATCTTAATCTACTAGCCATAATCTTTTATAAATATGTAGAAGAAAACTGTTTTGAATTTCATGAATTATTAACTGTTCTTAATCCTTAAAACCAAAATACACATGATAAATAGTAACTAATTAGATTTTAACAGTAATCTTTATTGCAATTACCAACAAAAAGTACCTTTTACATATAGTCACTCAAAAGTGCTCAAAATATAAGTAAGTTATCACTTAAAAATTAAGCAGCTTTTTGGAAATACAGATCTAACTTAATTCTCTGTTTGATAGAATATTTGGCTTCAAATATTTTTACTAGAGATATTTCCCAACAATATTTTAATCTGCAGGTAAGTTTTTTCATATATCCAAGTTTAGATTGTGAGAACAGATTTACTTTAAAAGTTTTTTTGATTCTTTATGACAAAAGTTATTCTTCCTGAATGTCTAACCTAAATTTTTAACATTCAAAATGTCTTATTTATGCATAATTTTCATATAATCTTAAACAAATTCAAGTCATCAGTAAACCAATACACAATTTTGTGTTTTGTTAAACATTTTTAGAACAATCTTTCATCTATATCAACACAGTAATTCATTAAATACCTACATCTCCAGAATCTATAACTTCAAAGTTTGTCTGATACTCTAGCTATTGTGAACACATTCATTTCAATGGTAATTAGTTCAGTAATCCTCCTTTATAATCCTCTCATGGTATATGTACAAAGTATTATAAAAAACAATCTGAAAAAAGTTTGAAGTAATGATATTAAAATATTCTTTAGGTTTCTTCTAGTACGACCACTAAGTTAAAACCTATTATTTCAATTCTTTCAATCATATAAAATAATTTATTCTCTAGAAACATAAATATTATTTTTATATAAGGTTTCTTGTAATTTAATTCATTATTATAACACATGTTCCAGGTTTTAATCATGAGATGAAAATTTCATTTTACCTCTTTGTTTATAACATAAGGAGTCTACTAGGTTCTCAGAGGAAGGTTCACATTCATTCGTCAATGACTTTAATAAATTTGAAGAATTTCTTATATCATTTTCCCTGTTTGGTTTTGAATCTTCAGGGAGTTTTGAATAAACAGTGCTAATCAAAGTTGAATTTGGGGAGTTTTGGGAAGTCTTCCATGCAGAAGTACCTTCTGGTATGAGGGATTTTTGTTGCATATCCTATAAAATCAGTAAAACAATATATTAAAATATTTTTCAACAATGAGAGATGATATATATAAAATATGATGTTTTCAACTCTTTCATAAATACAGAATAGAAACAAGTGCAAAACCGTGTTTATGAAACATATATGCTCCCACTAATATCATACTGCATTTTTAAGTTCCCAACTTGATAATGTAATACTTTTCCACAAGACTGGGGTGGATTTTCTATATACCAGTGCCCTTATCACTTCTCCCTTGAACCACGACTTTCAGAAATTAAATTGGTCTAGAACTTTGTGTGTAGTGTAGACAATATCTATTGATACTGTAATGAAATGTCATGTTCACAAGGTTGGGAAAGCTTTTATACATACCAGTAATGTTCCAACATTGACCTTCAAAAGCCAACCACATACTAGACCTTTTTCTGTAGTAACTGTTTTATAAGTTTGGTCAAAATCCATTCATCCAACCTTGAGATATTCTATTGGTAAGAATGGGACAAACAGATGGACAGGAGTAAACCAATAAGCCCTGCTCTGTGGTGCTTTGCAGTGAGGGTATCATTAGAAATATTTATTTGAATTTCTAGTGTGTATATATCTTAAGCACTTTAGTGGTTATTAGTATATAGGGATTACTCTATGATGGTTATAAATAACTGCTCAAGTTGAGTTATAACCTTATTTAAGCACCTAATTGCCATTATCGACATTATTAGCAGTGAGTTCAGTTTATAAGCGTATATTATTTCCATGTTTCATAAATAAGTTTTATTTCTGGTCACTAGATGGCAACACAAAATATTATATAACAACTGTTTGTGAATTTTCATTGCACAAACATGATATCTGCCAAAACAATTTCAGCAAAAATATGTAAGGAAAGGAAGAATAACCTAAATTAATATTCAAGGTACAAAGGAGATCATGTATTTATGCAACTGACAGATCTATGTACATGTTATTGATTTTTGTGTTTTAAAAACACCAGTTTCCTAATTATGAAAATAATACATTATATAGTGGTCTACTTTTCTTCAAATTTACAGTGGTGTCGAGCCTGGCAGCTGTATGTGTGTGTGTGTCCTTGGTATAGTACTATGACATGACCCTAGCACATGTAGTGAAGTTGGAAGATGAGAGTTCTGTAAATATGCCCTTAACGTGTGCAATGTATTGTAAAAGTACAAAATGTTAATAGTGTAGTACAGATAGAAATAAAATAAATTAATAAGATATGCATTTTTAAAAACAGTTTTAATGTTACTGATTTTTATATTGGACACAGGTTTTCCCTCTTTCTGCTTCATTTAAGGGAAGTCGAGTTGCATGTTTGCTATTGGAAATATATGCATATCCAATTCAGTAATAATGTACATAGTTTCAAATAACTAGTGCTTCATTTATTTAAGAAAGACTAAAAAAAATGGAAGATAACTTTTGAATACCGGATCTTTACCTGATGGTGACTTCCCATGTCTGACAAATCTTGGCAGGGCTCCGAAGCTATGAAATTGAGCACTCAATTCCTTGACGCATTATTGTTATTTTCACAAAACTATACTTTGTATTGATTGATTATCAATACACATTTAACAGACAGTTCCAGTTGCTATACTTGAAGCCTAAAACCTGCCTGTATTTTTCAACGCTCAATGACCTTTTATATAGTAATTCATATACACTGTATAATTTATATAATAAACAAAATGTTTATGGTTCAATAATATTCATGACTACTGTTTTTATAATTTTATTGATATAAGTACGCATACTTACAAGTTTTGATAGGCACAAATACAACTACATGTTATTCATTTTGTTCGTATCATGCAGTGAACCAAATGCTAAAAGTAAAAATTATGCATTTATACGTTTTTAGATTATTGGTTTCGAAAGTAGGTCTAATTACATATATATATGATAAAGATTGATTTTCTTCAAAACAGACTCGAAACCCCATAGGTCAATTACGCCTAAAGGTCTGATGTCACTGAGGGAAAGTGAAACACCCATAGCAATGTGTAAACGGTAAAACGTTAGAACATTTTATCTTTCAACCGCAAGTAAAGACGATATTGAAAAAAAAAATCATTAAGAATACGTCATCTGTTTGCAAGTGTTGATTATATTACTTAAGTAAAATGGCGGTTTTCAGTATTCCGTTACACATATCTTGTCAACATTGGCCCATCAGTTTATCAGGAAACGTCTACAAGTAATTAAACTTTGTATTGTTTTCATCATCTGTTAATTCCTCTTTGAAAGCAGTTCACTTCCGATTGCGCATGCGCAACGATACTGCTCAAATCATGGGAAAAAAGTATGAAACATGTTAAGTGCCATAAAAATATTAAACAAATATCTTTTCATTAATATGCATGCATAAATCTAATAAAATTACATTTACAATAAAAGCTTTAAAGTTAATTCATAAATTGCTACACTATCATTTTAGAATAATTTGATCTACTGTCTTTTCTTAGTTTTAAAAGGGTATTTTTACTTCAATAATTTTAATACAAAAGAAAAAAAAGGTTTTAAATTTTATGGACCCTTTGTGCTCCATGCTACGGTCTTTATCATAGTAAATAGTGGTGACTGCTTTTACCAGTAATACATTACGCTCATTTACAGAAGAACTCTATGGGTCGTCTTGAACTTTGAGTTTGAATATGATAATGGAAAACTTGAGTAATTAAAAGAAAATCGTGTAGGTTTTCAATGATTAATAATAATAGTACTAACATATGAAACAGTTTAGATAATTTAACTTTTAAAGGTAAGTAGTAATATATTCCATTTTACTTTTTACTACTCAGTTATATAATAGTAATACTCTACTACCTAAATGTACAACAACCTGCCATTGTCTTTGGGTATATAACTGCAATTTGTTTTCTAAATCACTTTACATTCGGTGAAATACAATTTTTTTTATTTAATCAGGTAAATTAATTAATGATGTTTATTGAAAGCAATTTTCAGTAATAGTGACGGTATGGAAATAGGCCTAATGAATATTATTAATATAACTAGTATTAGTACTAATGCAGCATCACCATTCAACGACTAGTGTTAAACTTTTTTTTTCTACATAAATTGAAAAAACTGGTTTAAAGTAATCTCATTCATAAAATAAAGTAAAAGCACATTAAAACAGTGAATGTGTACCTCCATTTTAGGATTTCTAGTTTGTTTAACATCTTCATCAAAGTCTAACTTGATACTTGTAAATGGCAGTTGTGAGGATGGCTTGATATCCTCTGTGAGTTTTTCTTGATCTCGTGCCTTGTGTTCAAATCCACCAGTTTCCACAGTAATAGACGATTGTCCGGGTTTCCAGACTATTTTACCAAAACGATTATATTAATATTGTTAAAACAAACGATTTAATTTATTTATTTCAAACTAGACGTTAAAACAGAAAAGAAATGCAAAACTAACTTCTATAATAAATTTAAAACTTAGAATGGTTTTTATGAGGAATAACTAACGAAATAAGCCAATTGAATAGTTATGAAAGGAAAACTACAACAACAAAACGGAAATATCATCAATAATATCAAATGTTCAGAGACCCCAAAATTGTGAGTACAGGTAAGTAATAGTCATAGCAAGTTCTAGTTTACTTCTGATTTAATAAAAAATGTGTACACGCACACACACGTTATTTTTCACGGTGTCTCATTAGGCCAGTCTGTACCTGCCTGTTTAGATTATAATTTAGAATAACTTATTTTTTGGTTTTGATAATAAGGTTAGAAAATAACGACCTTTATACCACTTCTGATAATTATAAAATAACTTTATATTTTAACCAACGCTTCGCCTTTGCGGCTTCATCAGGGTTAGTTTAAATTAGTATAAAGGTCGTTTTTTTCTAACATTTTTATCAAAATGTGCAAATCCTTCCAGTATGCACTGCAAATGTTGAAAGACAACAAAAATTATTTTTAGTTCAATTAAAATAGAACTGCAAAGCGTTAAACAAATACTAGGTCCAATTTTCTACATCCAGTAGAATGTTAGATATCTTTGGTTTACCCTGGAACTAGATAAGATTGATTCGAACTGGAGCTAGCTCCTCAAATGTGTGGGTTTCTTTAACGTTAGCTCAGATTATTAATGCCTGGGCACCCCAGTGGCATAGCGGCATGTCTACGGACTTACATAGCTAGAAACCGGATTTCGATACTCGTGGTGGGAAGAGCACAGATAGCCCACTGTGTAGCTTTTTGCTTAACTAAAAACAAACAAACAATTAATCCCTGGTTGGAAAATCTCATCAAAGTGAGTAAAAACGTGTCGTTTGAAAAATATTTGTAATTTGAGTTTACATCGAAGCAATTTTGAAATGAAACTGTGCACG